TCCTTCCGCCTCAGCCTTCCAAGTAGCCGGAATTACAGGCATGCGCTACCACACCCGGTTTATTTTTTGATTTATTGTAGAGATGAGGTCTCGCTGCCCAGACGGGTCTCGAACCCGCAGGCTCTGGTAATCCACTCACCTCAGCCTCCCAAAGGCGCGGGGTTACAGGCTGAGCCACTGAGCCCGGCTGAACATTTGTATTCTTAACTCTGAATTGTACCTCACATCTTTAAAATAAAAAAAATTAAAAGTCAAAAAAAAAAAAGAAACTTGGTTTTGCCATTTATAATGTGCTATTTAACTCATCTGAAAAATTTTCGTTAGTCAAATGGAATGATTTCTAGCATCTAGCGTTCTTCTAAGAACTGAATAATAAGATGTTTGCACTTAGCAAGCCCTTAAAAAATGATAGCTATTTTATTTGACCAAATGCCTAAGCCAAAATTACTCTACTCATAAGACAAGTGTAAACTCATGAGAATATCTGCCACTTTTAGAAGCAGTGAAATCCACAGAGGGAATGAAACAAAAACTATCATAATTATTCTTCATGATGCTGTCCCTGAAGTAAAAACAATTCAAAAATATTTCTTGATGGGTTACAAGAAAGTGTGTTGGGTGCTACTGGGGACTGCGTGAGTTAGTGTTCTTTCTGAAGGAGCTTACAGCTTGGAAAGGGAGTTGTCAAACTCTTCCTGTAAAATTTTGACTAGATAGTAAATATTCTGCGCTTCGCGGGCTCTTAGATTTCTGCTGTGATGCTTCAACTGTGCTGCTGTAGTAGGGAAACAGCCATAGAAGACACTAGAGTATGATCATGGCTTGGTTCCAACCAGACTTTAGTTAGAGAGAGAAAAGGTCAGTTGGCTAAGGTTCAGGGACCATAGTTTGTTGACCCCTAGCTTAAAAAAAATAAAGCAATTGCACAAATTACTGTTCAAGATCCCACAAAGAGACTCACAAATTAGGGAGAAATCCCGACTAGCACCTTATATTTTGAAAATGCATTTTGCTGCCAAGCATAGTAGCTCCTGTGTGTAATCCCAGCAGTTTGGGAAGCTGATGTGGAGGATTGCTTGAGCTCAGGAATTCGAGATCAATCTGGGCAACATAGCAAGACCTCGTCTCTACAAAAAAATTTAAAAATGAGCTGGCTTTGGTGGCTCGTGCTTGTAGTCCCAGGTACTCGGGAAGCTGAGGTGGAATGATCGCTTGAAACAAGGAGATCAGTGCACTTCAGCCTGGGTGAAAGATGAGAGAGAGGGAGGGAGGGAGGGAAGGAGCGAAAGAGAGAGCTATTTGGACACTAGATTTAGGGTTGTCTCCACCACTTATTGGCCTAGAGAGTACTTATTTACAATTTACAACAGTTCCTATCTCAAAAAATAGAAGCCTTAAATAAAATACTAAGTATTGTCTCTCCGAACCACTCAATAAATAACAACTAGGTTACTTTACACACCTATTCAAAATAGTGATAATAATAAAATGAAGATGATGGATATAAAAGACATGGAAGCAAGTACTTAAGAAATTATATGAGCTGGGCTCAGTGGCTCAGCCTGTAATCCCGCGCCTTTGGGAGGCTGAGGTGAGTGGATTGCCTGAGCCCGCGGGTTCGAGACCCGCCTGGGCAGGTGAGACCTCATCTCTACAACAAATCAAAAAAAATTAGCCGGGCATGGTAGCGCATGCCTGTAGTTCCAGCTACGTGGAAGGCTGAGGCGGAAGGATTGCAGGAGCCCTGCAGGTCGAGGCTGCGGTGGCCGAGAGTGGCTACTGCACTCCAGTCTAGGCGACCGAGTGAGACTCCAACTCAAAAAAAAAATAAAAAAAGAAATTATATGAACACCTGAGTGAGGGATGATGAGTTTGTGAAATATAAATGTGTCTGCTGAGAAACTTTTCATGATATGGACATCCCTTAATAAGCAATGTGTTGGGAATATATTTTTCTTATATTTATCTAAATTTTGTTATTGTATATTCTCAGTCTCTAAGATGTGCCAATCAATGTCTCTTGTATATCTTGTGTAAATACTAACTAGGTAGATAATAGATATCTTCACAAATTTGAGTATATGTATGTACACACATCAGTGTATAATAATACAAGTTTTTCTTGTACATGTTGTTATGTTGTGCTTCAGGCATTATGCTTTACTCCAGCCCAGTTCTGTAGCCCAACCTTCTCAAGTGGTTCTACCTTAAGTGATATCCAATCCCCCATTTCTTCTTCAGAAACAAAGAAGAGCCCGCACACTTCAGCTTTCCTTTGGAGAGAAACACTTTCCTGTCTGAAAGAAAGAATAGAAAAGAAGAAAGTTTGTTCAAAAGTTGTCCATTCACTTCCAAGAAAATACAGATAATCATCTGCATAATCAAACACTAATCCAGGAGCTTCTGCAGTTTCAAATACAGGGCTTAGTGAGGACCCGGTGAAATAGACACATTTTAATCTCATTTGTGTACCTTAGGCTGGTGTCTCATGATCCACTCACTTCCCATCGTGAAGATTAAATTATGTGGCTATATTTTCTAATAGAAAATCATCACACATATATGTTTTAATATATCAGACATTAAAGGTATTTAAATATTTCAAGTTAATTTACCTCAATTTTGAGTAAAAGGATGGGTTTCTTAGAATACAAACCTTAATTACTTTGCAATACATGAATTTCCTGGTAGACCAATCTCCTACGTAATCAAATGATATGAAATCGTACAAGATACACATTTCATTTCAATTAAGAGGTTTTGGGTTCAGTTTATGTTGCCAGCTGTTCTATTTACCAGATACAGCTAGCTCACCAGCTCACAAAATGCAACTGGTCAGCATATTTCCTCAATCTCTGAAATCCTCATCAGAATACTTAATGGAAACCAGCATTCACCAGCCAGGATGTCAGCTTCATCCATGAACTGAGTACTGAAGAGGATCACACGGTCTGCTTTGCGTTCTTTCAGAAGGTTCCACACTCGGTGTCTTGAAAAGGGATCCAATCCAGCAGTTGGTTCGTCCAACAGGAAAATCTGCAGAGGAGGGAATGTGATGTATATACACAGGTTTTCTACCAAGGGGAAGTTCTTCCAGAAAACAATGTAGAACCCATACTATGTATATTTGAGATGGTATTATGGGTTAGGATTTTGCTCCTATACGTAATGTTCTATTATAAATATTTTATCACAAATAAAGGATTTGAACGAGTGACAAAATTTTTACTTTTTAAAATATGAATTCACCTGTAAATTTTGTCTGACTTACCTGAGGGTCTCCTAAAAGGGCAATCCCAAAGGTGAGTTTTCTTTTCTGTCCACCACTTAAGTTTTGAGCAAGGACATTCTGAATATTTTTCATGTCCAATTCCAGCAAAACTCTTTGAATCTAACCAAAAGACAGCATATATGTCATAAGCCAAGATCTGTCTCTTCTTTTTCTTTTTAAATTTATAAATATAAGGCTGTAAAGTGCAATGGTTAAAATCATGGACACTGGAGCCAAACTGCCTGGCTTTGAATGTCACTCGTGTTAACTAGCTGCATCATCTTGGTCAAGTTATTTGTTTTAACCTCAGTTTCTACATGCATAAAAGGTGATAATAAAGCACCTGTCTGAGAGAATTGCTGTGAGGAATAAATGAGTTATTACATTTAAAGTCAAGGATATGCTTGGCATACTGTAAATTATATGTAAATGTTAACTGTTGTTTAAGTTGGATGCTCTTGTTCAACATTTACACACTTATTTGCACACAAATAATTCAATAGAAGTTGGAAATCAGAGAAAATAGGTTTTAACAACTTTGTTTTGACAATACGTTAGTTCTAGCATCTTTATATACCTCTTTATCCACTTCTCGTGGCAGAATCCCTTTTATTTTAGCAAAGAGCATGAGGTTTTCCCTCACAGTGAGGAAGTCAAATTGCACATTGGATTGTGGACAAACACCAGTGAGCTTGCTGATATGTTCTAAGTCAGCCATTTCTGAAAGTTTGTTATTATAGATGGTGACTGAACCTATAACAAAGATTAAAAGTTAATATGAGGATAATGCTTAAATTTAAGATATCTCTAAATAAAAATCACTATGTACTAGTTAAATTTTAGATATGCAATTTTATCTTCGAGGTTTATGCAGATCAGCCATCATGAACTTCCATTTTAGTTGTATGGTGCCTACTCCTCATGTTGAGTTTGGCTCTATCCCCAGTGGGACCGTAACCAGTGTGATACAAGCAGAGACTGATGAAGAGCTTATACTTGGCAACGTGCCCATTCTTGCTGCTGGGATCGTGAGACTACCAGGTGAAGAATCCCAGGAAAGCTTGCGGAAGAGGAATACCATGAAGAAAGAGAGTTACAGAAGCCCTAACTGAAGCCTCAGATAAGCGAGTGAGGCCATGGTCAATCATTCAGCCCCAGTCACTTTGGTCCAGAACAGAAAAACTGCCTATTCAGCTCACAGACGCATGCGAAACAATAAAACATTTTTCTTTTAAACCGGTAAGTTGGGAGTGCTTGTCATGCAGCAAAAACTGACAGATACACGTAGGAATGCCAAATGGTAACCAAGGACAATGAAAATAATTACAATGAAAAGCTTATGCTTTATATATAGTGTAACAATTAAATATATGCTTCCATAGAATAGTCCTATAAAATAAAATTTCATTTTTCTCTAGGTGTCTGTGTTTGTGATTAGTAATCAGAAGAACTTTGTATTAATTGCTGACTTCTCAATCTGACTTTGAAAAAAAAAGACAATTTTACCTTTGGTGGGAACAGACAACCCACTAAGAATATTGAGGAGTGTTGACTTTCCAGCTCCGCTGTGACCAAGAATTACAGTGATTTGGCCTTCATATATGTCAAATACCAGATCTAAGAAGAAAAAAGAAAAGAAAAGCAAGGTGAGAGAAAGGAAGGAAGGAAAAGAAGTTTGGAGAAAAGAAAGAAGAAAAAAAGAAAATCACAAATAGAATTCTATTATGGAGCCATTGAGTGTTATGTTATTTCCTTGAATGGCCATATTTTCTATGTATGAATATACTGGGTTGTTAAATCCAAAATAAAACACAAAAATGCCATTTATAAACTTATTTCTCAATTTAACTTTTTTTGAAATGTTGAACTTAGTTTAAATGAGTGAAACACGTCTATCTTCTAAGTTTGCTGATATTGCAGGGCATATAGCAGGTAGATGTTAATATTTATTGAATAGAAGAATAGATTAATAGTATAGTATTACATGGGTAGAGCTCCTTTGAGGTAAGTGACTTTTGCATAAAATAAGAAAACATACAGTATCTACCAACAATTTTTGTATGACAGAAGAAAAATTTCAGTTTGTGGGGGGGAGGGGGAGAAGACAGAATATCCTTAGACTACCTCAGTATTACCCAGTATAGATTTCACATCTATTTCTAAACCATATTCATTTTTAAATAACTTTTATAAAGTAGAAGTAACGTGTTAGAAGTAAAAATTTATCATGTGGCTCCAATAACTCTTTTCAAATCTGAAATACCACCACCGATTTTTCACCAAAAGCAAAACAAAATGAATTCAAATCAGGAAATCAATATTAATATAATAACTAAATATTCCCCCCACTTTTTTTTTTTTTTTTTTTACCTCTCAAAGCTTCTATTTTGTCAGGCTTGCCTTTGTATTCTTTTGTAACATTTCTGATTCTGTAAAAAAGAAAAGATACTCCATGGTGACAGTTCTCTTCAGTGCATGATTCTGAGTTTGGTCAACACGATTGAATGAGTCAGGTTGCATGTAAATCTGGGACATCACTCTATTGCAGTCATGGTTGAGTGACGGAATCAGTTAGAGTACTGCATGTCAACCCTGCCTGCAAGTTAGCATCACCTGTGGAGTTTTACATTTCACTGTGCTTGGAACCCATCAGAAGAGGTTCTGATTCCATCGACTGGGATGTATCCTAGTACTAATATTGGAGAATACGATAATCTCTGAACTGCAAAGCTAAGGAAGCTAGACCAAGAGAAAACATGGATATCTAATACCAGAAGGCTCCTTGTGGACCACTGGCACAGGCTGGAGGTATTGTCGGTTATTTTGAGTCAAGGTTTTTTAGAGGTTCGTGAAGAGTTAAAATAAGGGGGCCGGGCATGGTGGCTTGTGCCTGTAATCCCAGCACTTGGATGACATAGTAGCATGAGCGTGGCTTGCACAATCCTACCCACCTCAGCTCATTCTTAGTTGCTCTGTTACCTTAACCAGTATACCTATTCCAGATCAATTTCAGCTTTCCTACTTAGTTGCTCTGTTTTGCTCAGCTTTACTACTTAGTTGCTCTTTTCTTTACTACTTAGTTGCTCTGTTACCTTAACCAGTATACTTATTCCAGGTCAATTCCAGCTTTTACAACCTAAAAACGTCCAGTGCTTTAGGATTGTGTTGGAGCGTAAATAAATGATTTCTTCTTGCATGTATAGTGCTTGGTTTGTGGTAAACATTCAACAAATATAAGATGATATTGATCAGATGATGATGATAGCAATAGAAAGAACGTATACTGGATGCTATCACAGATCCAGAATACTAGGCACTTTATCTGCATGGTTTTATTCTACCAGGTAAGCATTCAATCCATATGCAAAATCAAATCTATATTTCTTATTTTGTCATCTACTCTTCATCCAATGATCCAGGCTCCACATATATCAGACTGTTTAATTATGTTTTCTTATTTCTGTTTTAATTTCACTTCACCGTCATTTCATAGTACTTATAGTTGGGTGAAGTGCTGAAGACATGGAAAAGAAACACACAAATGTGTCCAATAAAGACATTACTTTGCTCTGAGCGGCTCTGCTGGGGGTTAAAGCTAGCTTGGGTTGCAGGACAAATAAAAGTATGCATGATAAATATGGAACAGGCTAAAATGAAAATGAATCAGGCTCTGGGAGCTTTGCAGCCTGGAGTAATGAGACGGTTTGCAAGAAACTGACATGCGCCGGCTGGTCATTGATGGATGAGTGAGAGTTGAACAGTTAGGACCCTCTCCCTATTTTCTTACGCAGAAATGAAAGCTACTAGCACCAAACAAAATGGATTTTTTGTTGTCACACAGAATGAAGATGGGCATGATTCTAAATAGTGCTTCCCTCTGAGTTCCCATTGTGCCTATCATGAGGACTTTCTCCTTTTCTCGTCCCTACTCCTTCATGTCCTCTTAAAAGGCAATAAATAAGCCGGCTCAGTGGCTCAGCCTGCAATCTCGCGCCTTGGGAGGCTGAGGCGAGTGGGTTGCCTGAGCCCGAGGGTTCGAGACCCGCCTGGGCAACTTGGCGAGACCTCATCTCTACAGTAAATCAAAACATTAGCCAGGAGTGGTAGCGCGTGCCTGTAGTTCCAGCTGCTTGGAAGGCTGAGGCGGAAGGATCGCCTGAGCCCAGCAGGTCGAGGCTGCGGTGGCTGGGAGCTGCCACTGCACTCCAGTCTGGGTGACAGAGTGAGACTACAACTCAAACAAAAAAAAAAAGAAAAAAAAAGACAATGAATATAAAAGAAAGAGAACCCCCCCAAAAAAGTTGAAAGAAAAAAAAGGGAGTGAAACCAGTGAGGAGGGGACTAGGTGTGGATACACGAGATCAAGCAAAGAGATTAGGGAGGATAAGGTAGAGAAAAGTAACAGGACAGAGACTGAGAATCCAGGCAAGGGTTTCGTTGAATTATCTTTGTTACTAAAATTTAAGTTTTTATTTAGTGTAAATGTCAACAATATAAGACCTCAAGGGGTTGATAAAAAAGTGTCTTTCTTTGAGCTTGAAGTGGAAAGCGGTAGACATACCCATGGGTGAGGGTAGGTGGGAACTGTCCACAGAGCACGGAAGAGAACTTTGTTTGCCTCAGAGGCTGACTGTTAGCTTCCCAGCTTTTGGCCTGTTTTGCTTTCTCATCCTTATTACCTGATGGCTTCTTTCCCATGGAACTCAGGAGATATGGGTTCAAAAGAGTCATCAGATGAAGGATCAGGATCTATGTCGTCAAGGGCAACATGGTGAGCCTTTTGTTGTCGTGACCAAAATGAGGACCTCAGGAAAAACAAGGGTGGATATCGATGTCCATATTCATCTACATGACCAGGAGAAGATAAATGTTGGATCAATCACTGCTTTTAGGAAAAAACAGTCACACAACTGCAGCATGACAATGCAACCTCTTTGTCGCTGAACCTGAACACATGGTCAATACTAGGTAATGCACATGTTTTGACATTAGTGACTTCATAACGGGGGAAAAATCCCTGCGTGTCTCTATTATAATAACATTTCCCACAGAAAACAATGAAAGTGTGATTTTTAAAAATTTCAAAAAAGAAATTAAATAAATATTCAGAATTTTCTTAACCTTGAAAAAGCGCGATATTGAAATACAAGTGCAAGATATGCTAGGCATGCTGAATTCCTTCTAGGCGAACAGGTGTTATGACATTGACATCAATGTAGAAGAGAAGATAGACTTTAGATTTAAGAAAAAATAAATAACACATTTGTAAGACAGGGAGAGAACGGGGCAAAATAATTTATTGAAACAACACAGAGTGCATTTCTTTTTAGAAAAGCTACTTTGTATTTCTATTTTATCTCATCCTAAAATGATGAATTTTCTCTGAAGCCAATTTATGACTTGCTTTAGGAACATAATATCTGTAAACATCCTGCTGAAAACTAATCCACACCATATTTGTACTTTATTATCACTTCTATTTTCCTACATATTAGAAAACATTATGAAATGGAAGAATCTCATTTCCCTGAAATTGTGCAGTTGACCTCCACTGTAAGGCTGATGGGTTTTCAAACTTATGTGTATCTTTCCCATGTTCAGTCCTTCTTTCATGCAGTAAATATTTACTGAGCATTCTCTGTGTACCTGGCATATGGTATATTGTTACTTGGCTCCTATCTCTTTCTTTTATTAAAAAAAAATCTAGCAAATAAATGCATGCAGCCATAACTGGAGTCATTCTGCCACCAGATTTACCAGAATTTATACAATTCTGTCATTTTGTCCAGTTAAGTTTTCTTTCTGTTATTCATGTTTATTATCCTTAAAATAATTTTGAAGAAAATCATCTCTGATCTTAAATTTAGGCTTAGTGAAGGAGCAATAATTAGGAAGAAATGAAGCAATTCAGTTAATTTTGGATAAAAAAATTCCTAGTTATGCTGATAAAATGAAATGCTTTTTTAAACTGAAAAAAAGTGTGAGTGCGAAAAATATCTTTGTGACTAGAATATAATGTTAAGTGAGAAATAAGATACAGGCATAAAATGTAATAATACTCGCGATAACTTGACAAAACAATTACAAATAGAATATTTAAAGTGATATTATTAAAATATGTTTGAAACAAGGATTAAAAAGAGTGGAATATATGCCATAATGTCCACTTAAAAAAAAAGGTTAAATTGGTTAAAGAATGTAGTTGCCTAAGAGGATATAATTCAACAGCTGCAGATACAGTTGACATCCATTTGAATACATTGGAAAAACAAGAAAATATAGAAGAAAATATAAGTAGCCTATTTTAAAATTTAAATTTAAATTTTTGACTTGGAATCTCACTCCATTGCCTAGGCTGGAGTGCAGTGGCATGCTCATTGCCACCCCAGTGTTGACTTGCTGGGTTCCGGCGAACCTTCTGCCCCAGCCTTCCAAGTAGTCGGAACCACAGGTATTCTCTACCACGCCTAGCTAATTTTTGATTTATTGTACAGATGAGGTCTCGCCAAGTTGCCCGGGCTGGTCTCGAACCTGCGAGCTCAGGCAATCCACTTGCCTCAGCCTCCCAAAGTGCTGGGATTACAGGTGTGAGCCTCCATGCCCAGCTGAAAGCATATCTATTTAAATAACTCTAATTGTATAATAAATGTGTTAGCCACAAATAGTAGATCCTAACATCTAATGTTCTGAGTTCTTTGAAAAGGCAGAGACAGTTATCCTTAAGAGATTAACTAAAATTGTTCCCAAAAGGATCGATTCCCTGCCTCAAGGCATTGCTTTCTGTTTTCTCTTTCACCTTTCCTTTTCTCCTCTTTCCACAGATGTTTATTCATTGCTTTATTAAAAAGGACAGTATGGGGTTTGCTTGGTTTGTGTCCGTAAGCAAAACACTTCCCTGCTTTTGCAAAATTCATATACTTGTAAGTTGCAAGGTGAAAAAAGTAAAAATTTATTGACTTTTCCATTGTGAAATTCTGGAGAGATTTTAAAAAATATAGACACACTGATTAATTGATTCAGAATGTCTCTAGGCTGAGCTGGACTTAGTATTGCTTTAAAACTCTCCACATGGTTCTGTTGTCCAGCCGGAGCTCAGAACCTCTGAACTAAATAGTTAGACAAAAGCAGTCATGAATCTCCATGATTACCAGATTGTCCCATTTAGAAACTAGCTTTCTAGGCATTTATTTAAAAAGAAACAAGCCACACTCTTGGCGTAGAGTGAAGTTCAAAGAAAGGTTAGTGATTCCATGAACAAAATCCAGGTTTGAGTTTTGACAAGTCAAGTAGCAAGAAAGACATGAAATAACTTAACCCATGGCAACAATTTTGCTCATTTCCTTCCCGTTGATGTACAAAGTAGTTCTTAAAATATAAAGAGCATATGTGTGAGGAGTTTTGTTTCAAGAAATAAAATAACTTAAAAGATGTTTTATTTTTATCTCACTACTCACTTGGCAAAATTTTTTCAAAGTAAATCGTCAATGCCAGATAGAAGAAAGTGTCAAATGCCAACATAAAAGTTGTTGCTATAATGAGATTTGAGTCGCCTGATGGATCAGGAAATGCATTAGAATTCAAATCGTAGTCCAAGCGTAAAAGCTGAAAATTAAAGAGTAAGTAGTTAAGGGAAATTAAATTTGTGGTAAATGTTAAACGGCGAGGTTTAGCATAGGAATAAAATGGCAACTTATTGCCTCACACAGGGAATAGAACGTTAAATAAGGAGATGGCCTACTTTATGGTTCTCAAACCCATTGGATGGCATAGACACGTGACCAGTTATCATGAGGTTTAAGCTGTTGCTGTGACAAAACATATTCCAAAGGAAATTGGAGAATCTGGAGCAGGTTGGGAGGTATGGGAACCGATGACATTAGAGCTTGAACTAGAATATACTTTTAACATATAAGGACATAGTCAAAAGGTGTGGTGACCCTTGTTAGTGGCTGCATGAAGGAGAATTCACACTTGGGAAAACGGCCCTGGGATGTTCAAGGAAATCTAGTGGGAAAGTGGGCTGGTCTACAGTGTCCATGAGGTCTTTATAATCTCTTTATAATTCACAATCCTCTTGTGAAGCACTAAATAATATACATTTAATGATGGGCGTTACAATTTAACTGGAGGGAGGGCAACATGCGTTCAGTAAGAATCAAACAAACAACAAGGACATTTTATGAACAGAAACATATTTACTAATGAATGTTCAAGATGTTTTTAACTTGTAATTTTATTTTGTGGTTTTTGCAGTCATGTGCTCTACTCAATTACTAAGTAAAAATATAAACTGGAATTGTTATTTCAAATTAGCTTTGCAACAGCAAGTCCATGTTTAAGTCTAGATTGGTTACTATGTCCATTATTTCGGCAACAGGTTTGATGGAAGCCCAAACTTCACAATCAAGCAATACATCCATGTAACAAAACTGCCATGTACTCCTTGAATTCAAAATGTAAATGCATAGCTTAAGAAAGCACTTTACATTGTCTTTAAATAATTGTGTATCAAACTTCCTTTTTTTCACTTTCTAAATGTCTTATTTTGCTGGGCTACTTTCAAAAGTTCATCTTTGCAACCTTATAAGAGTCTCATTAGGGTTCTAAAACTTACAATGCTGAGTATGAAAATGAATACAACCTACTGAATTCCAGAGAATCAAGATGTTTCAGAACTGTCATTCATAAATAATTAGATTGCTTCTTACCTGGGTCATTCCAAGCATGAAGGCAAAGGGGCTAAGCAAACTTAAAATCCACTCCAAAGATGCAGGAAGGTGTCTGTATAATGATGTGAATCCCAGACTCCCCCAAAAGACAGTGAGAAGGAACACGGCCAGACCGGCGAGGAAAGGTTTCTTTATCAAGACACTCATTAAGAAACTCAAAGCCATCTAAAATAACAGGAAATCTAGTTGGTTTATGTTTCTCTAAAAATTATTAACAACATAATAAAACGAGAGATTTAATATCCAATATGATGATTATATTATTATTTTATATATAATACACAAAACTATGTTAAAAACTGGCATCACAAACACCTCAAATCAAATTGTACCTGTTTATAGATTTCCACATGCAAACACAGCAGACAGAAAAAAAAATGTACAGTAAATCTCCTGTGTATGAATAATCAGGCTACAAATTTTAATAAAGCACATCTGTGTTTTTTTTTACATATCGTTTCTCTCCACCAGGTATCAGTATAGCCTATTAAATACATACAGTGGTATATAGCTGATTGTGTTAGTTGGATACCCAGGCTAACTTGTTGGACTTACAACAAATGGACTTGTGAATGTGCTCTCGGAATCAAACTCATTCGTATGTTGAGGACTTCCTACACAGTAATAACATAATTGAAAGCCAACAATTGATTTTCAGGCGATGAGGTGGACGGAGGGATATTTAATTCACTAACTCACCACTGACAATCCATAGAGGAAAAAGAGGGTGAAGACTGCCATGAAGCCCGTCAAAATGACAAACTGGGTAGATTTTATAACAAGCGCCAAGAAAATGGCCATGATGACGATGAAGCCAGCATAGAGCAAACCCCAGGAGAGCCTAATGCGGAAACAAAATGTTATTGTACTATTTCGTGTTCAATTGAAAAGGAGGACCTGAAGTGAACTCTAACATCATTCATTCATTCATTCATGCATTCACTCATTCATTTTCTCCTTCAGCAGACAGTTATTGAGTGTTCTAGAATATATAAACACAATGTAAAAGTTTTGGACAGAATTCTTTAGGAATTGGGATTTTTTTCCCCTAAATTTTATTTCAGAAATACACACACACACACACACACACACACACGGACATCATTGTGGAACAAAAGGAAAATTTAGCCTTCCCATCTGACAGATTTTGGTTCAAACATTTTGTTTGCTGCATTCTTACTTTGCAACTATGGGCAAACTTTGCAACCACTCTATTTGTCCTTTACTTCTTTGGACGCTAGAGAAAATCCTGCAAGGAAAACTCAATGAGGTAATGCCTCTGTAGGACACTGTCTTAGCAAAGGGTAGATCCTTCACATGTCTCAGATCATTTTCTCCTTTCTGGGACCTCTTGAGGTGAGGGAGTGTCACAGATTTCCTTAGAGATAAGACATTTTGTCATGTCTCTCTTTTCCCAAAAACTGATGTCATCTTTCTCTGGATGTGTTCACCAAATGCTCTATATTCTTGGTTTTAATTCCATTCATTCTTTTTTATGACCAAATGCTTTAAAAAAATCCAATTCGTTTTGTCTCAGAATAGTTCACTTTCCTTTCCTCATAAATTTCTTTATCTTGTTTTACAATATTCTTTGAAAGGAACAATAAAGGCTTTATCCCCAGGATGCAGGGCTGGTTCAACATTCGCAAGACCATAAATGTCATTAAATACATCAACAGATGTAAAAACAAAGCCACATTGTTATATCATTAGACACAGAAAAAACTTTTGATAAAATCCAGCATCTCTTCTTGATAAAAACCCTCAAACACGTAGGTATAGAAGGAACATACCTCAAAATAGTAAGTGCCATTTATGATAAACCCACAGTTAACATGTTGCTAAATGGTCAGAAACTGTAAACATTTTCCTTGAAAACTGAAACGAGACAATGCTGCCCACTCTCACCCCTCTTGTTCAACATTGTATTCGAAGTCCTAGCTAGGGCAATTAGACAAGAGAAGGAAATCAGGGTTACCTAAACAGGAATAAAGGAAGTCAAGCTATCTCTCTTTGCTGAAAATATGATCCTATACTTTGAAAATCCAAGAAAATCTGTCAAAAACCTGCTTGCACTGATAATGGACTTTGGCAAAGTCTCGGGGTACAAAATAAATGTGCAAAAGACAGTTGGATTCCTATACAACAACAAGTAGGCAGAGACCCAAATTAAAAGCACAATCCCATTCACAGTAACCACACACACATACAAAAAACTTCAGTATCTTCCTAACCAGAGAAGAAGAGAAAGATCTTTACAATGAGAACTGCAAAACACTGCTCAAAGAAATCCAAGAAGGCACAAACAAATGGAAAAATATTCCATGCTCATGGATAGGAAGAATCAACACTGTGAAAGTGTCCATGCTACCAAAGACAATCTGTAGATTCAGCGCAATACCCATTAAGTTACCAACATCATTCTCAGACCTGGAAATGACAACACAGAAATTCATATGGAAACATAAATGACCACGAATAGCCAAAACAATCCTTAGCAAAAGAAACAAAGCAGGAGGTATCACACTTTCAGACTTCAAACGTTACTATAAGACTACAGTAATCAAAACAACCTGGTATTGGTACAAGAACAGGAATAGAGACCAATGGAACAGGACAGAGATTCTAGAAGCAAAGCCTCAATTTCTCAACCAACTCATCTTTGACAAAGCCTCCAACAACAACCACTGGGGAGAGGAGAACCTATTCAGTAAATGGTGCTGGGAAAACTGACTGATCACATGCAGAAGATTGAAATAGGACCCCTACCTATCACCATGCACAAAAATTAACTCTAAGTAGATCAAAGACCTAAATGTAAAACCTCAAACTACAAGAATCTTAGAAAATGCAGGAGACACCCTTATGAAAATTGGAACTGGCAACCAATTCCTATTCAGAACCCTAAATGCCCATGCCTTAAGAAATAAGATAGACAAGTGGGAACTCATCAAACTAACCAGCTTCTGCAAAGCAAAAGAAACCATCAAGAGAGGGGAGACAGCCCACAGAATGGGAAAAATTATTTGCCAATGTATATCTGAAAAAGGCAAGGAACTCAATGAGCCAAAAGGAAAAATCAAACAGTCTGGTTAAAAAGTGGGCAAAAGACAGGAATAGACACTTCTCCAAAGAAGATATACAGGCAGCCAACAGACACATGAAAAAGTGCTCAGCCTCACTCATCATCAGAGAAATGCAAATCAAAACCACATTGAGATACCACCTAACCCCAGTAAGAATGGCCATCATTAATAAAACAAACAACAACAGATGCTGGTGAGGATGCTGAGAAAAAGGAACGCTTCTACACTGCTGGTGGGGATGCAAACTAGTGTAACCTCTTTGGAAGACAGTGTGGCAACTTCTGAAAGAACAGAAATTGACCTTCTATATGACCCAGCAATTCCTGTATTGGGAATATGCCCAGAGGAACACAAATTATTCTACAAAAAAGATACGTGCACACATATGTTTGTTGCAGCTCTACTCACAACAGCAAAAATCTGGAACCAGCCATGCTGTCCATTGAAGTAGGACTGGATTTTAAAAATGTGGTAAATATACACAATGGAATATTATGCACCCATAAAGAAAGACAAACATATGGACTTTGCAGCAACTTGGATGGATTTAGAGTCGATCATACTCGGTGATCTATCACAGAAGCAAAGCACAGAGTACCATATGTTCTCACTCATAAGTGGACCTTGAACAATTATAATGCTATAAGAAAGCGATTGGCAGTAGTGGGAAACTGTCTGGAAATGGGGGTGGGATTGGCTGTTGAGGGAAACTGCTAGGGGAGGGAGAGGCATACCTCATCAACAAGGGTACCTGCATAATCAACGTTTATATACCTAACCCTGAATGACACCCCACATCTTTATAATAAAAAACAGAAAAAAGAAAGGCACAATAAAATTATCCTAATTTTAAAAATAAAAAACAAAAATAGCTGCAAAACCAACAAAATAGTAGCTAACACATCATATGGCAATTATTATGTGTTGGGAATATTTAAGAACTTAACAAATATTAAGTCATTTTATTCTCAAAATAGCCCCATGCAGAAATGCCACTGTTTTCCTCATTTTTTGACAAGCAACTTAATGAGTAAGGGTATTAAGTAGCTATGCTTTCAGTCCAGGCATTTTAGCTCCAGAGTCTTTAGATTTCACTGCTCTGCTATCTTTTTCTCAGATACTGATTTGATGAAGGGGTCAATATTGATCCATAGAATTTTAACACTGGAAAAAACTTTCCAGACCCCTAATTAGTTGCCATATGCACGCTTCACCTGGCTCCCTAGCTTCTCTGTTATTTTCACTTCCTCTTCCCTATACACATCACCTCCATGCCGTTTACATCAATTATTCACATGTTCTCACACAGAACCTTGTCCATTTTTAGAATTCTTCGCCTCTGACATTTCAAATTCAAACTACCCGGCCCCTAGTCACAATCCAATTTTGCCATCTCACACTCCTCAATCTCAAAGGAGTTCTTTTCAGTCCCATCCCAGCTTGAGTTCCACTTCAGTCTGGCACAGACACCAATGCCTAGCTTGTCTACCACCCTGTTGCCGTGGTCATTATCTCTGCTTTATAATCACCCGACAAACCTAATGCACCAACATTCTTTCTTCACTCAGAGAAGCATAGTAACACCCAGCTTCAGTCTGGCAAACATTACGCCAAGGACAACTTATTCTATTCACAGGGATAAAGGAAAAAGAAAATCATTAGATTGTAATAAAGATGCATTGAAGATGCTTAGTTTTCCCGAGTTCCTCCCTTTATTTGTCTGTGTTACGTTTGACTCACCAGAAGGCTGAATCTTGAAGACCCATCATTGTCATCAAGCCCTTCATTCTTTTCCTCTCTCTTGTGATGTTAGCAGATGCGTAGTAAGTGAATGAAGAAAAAGTAATAATACAGATGAAAACAAACACATCAGTTACAATTCCTGATTGACCAATGAAGGCATGTATCTTCATATTTTTTCCAGTAACTGACATCAGGTTCTCCTTCACTGAGTGATTTGTTGTGATCTGAAGATAGATATTAATAAACAAAATGTCTATGTTAATAAATGGAATGTTCTGTTTTCTTTCAATCATCTATTTTCTTACGAATGCATAATCCACCTGTTGGGGTGTGGTGCTCTCTTGTCTGATGATACCGACTTTTGGGAAAAGAGAAACATGAAATTTAGGATACTGTCTACTGTCCTGCCATTGGCCTACGTGGAGCTTAGCTTCATCCCCTTTCTGCCTATCATTACTTGATGATTTGCTTGTAAAGCCTTTTCTGACCTTACCCCTCACCTTAAGCTTCAAGTTTAAAACTTATTTCAATGAAGAATTCTTTCAAGGCATCCTAGGCTGGGGAGGTTTTGCTCATTGACCTTTTTTTTGTTTTTCATTTTTGTTGTTGGAGTCTTGCTCTGTCTCCCAGACTAGAGTGCAGTGATACACTCACAGCTACCGCAGCCTCAATTTGCTGGGCTCAGGCAATCCTTCCATCTCAGCCTTCCAGGTAGCTGGATCTAGAGGTATGTGCCATCACACCTGGCTAATCTTTTTTTCTTTAACTTGTTGTAGAGATGAGCAACTCACCCAGTTGCTCGTGCTGGTCTCCAAACCCTGGGCTCAGGCAATCTTCTTGCCTCTGCCGTCCAAAGTGTTGGGATTACAGGCATGAGCCATTGCACCCAGCCTTCTCATTAACTTATAAGGACTTTATTTATATTCCATGATAGTCAATGTCTATTCTAATAATTTTCTTATTACATGCCTAGCTTCCTGACAAGGTCAAGTCCATTTGTTTGAGTGAATTTTTCTTCTATTTGTATTTACATCCTATGACATATAATAACACACTAAAACTGTGTTTTAAAGATAAGAGTGAGTAAATGAAAAAAAGGCTACCCATTTGTATTTTGTATTTTCTTTCATTAAACTTTTGATGCCTCTAATATCATTAATTGGTATTAAACATTAGTTTGCACTGAATATTTTGTACTCACTTCTATAATAGCAGCATTAATGGCAGCTTGAAGAGCCACAAATCCTTCCTCCCAGAATAATGACACTTCACAGTCAAAATCTTCACTTGTTCCATAACAATGAGCTTTGTGAAAAAAAGAAACCATAACTATAATTGTGGTCATTTCAATCTTGATTACAGGAAACAATGAATTTTACAATGGCCCCAAATCAAATGTTCTTATTTGAACTCAATGTCTACTAAAACATAAATTATAATAGGGGAATCTAGGTTTTCTGCTATGCTGCAGGCTCTCATAAGAACTGAAATCCTATCTGGTGAATGAAAGTGGGTGAGTGAGACAAAGACACCTTGGGAAGGCTCACCCCTTTTAGCAATATGTGGGTCCTTGATCCAATGTGGTAAGAATCCTGAGCAGGGCACAGTGGCAGACAACCGCCACTCAAGTGAAATGGGAAAAAACAAACAAACAAACAGCAGCAGCAACAACAACAACAACAAAAAAGCTCATGCTGGGCCAACCATTGTGAACATGACTCACAGGCAGAGAAAGCCTGCCTGCAGAGTGAACCCAGCTGATGTCCACTGCCAATGGCTGATGATCACCCCAGCCAGATCAGGAAGAACCACCTCTAAGCTCTGCATTTCTGCAGGGTGGAGCACCCCCACTCCTCCGTGGTAGATAACTTACTCTATTTCAAGAGCAGAGAGGGGACCTGAACAGGGAAGATGCATCACAAAATATACCTGAAGGCTTTCTCAGTGGGAAAGCTCCTGTGCTGTAAACCAGAGACAGCAGACAGGAAGCCCATCTACCCTGCTCACTCTCCACAGAGTGCTAGCAGCAGGAGTTGAAAGTTGGTCTGACTAATTCAGCAGGGGAGAGAAAATCTGCAGTGATGGAAACCTGCCAAAAGGTGAAGCAAGGAGCAGAAATGACTGCCCCTCCATCTCTCACTCAGTGAACCACTGAAAGGGCCCTAGAACAGAGGGTGATTGAATAACTTTAGAGTCGCAAATCAAAAAAAGGAATTACAGACAACAAAGAGAGGCCTGTCACAAATGAGAAAAAATCAATGAAAAACGACAGGCAAACCTCAGAGTTCTAAAGAGATAGTGCCTGAAAAAGCAGCTGTCAGAATGCAAACAATGGAAACCTCCCAGAATGACCTGTCCCAGATGGCAGACAAAGAAATCGGAGATTGGAGGGCAAAAAATGAGCAGGAACCAAGAGAAACTAGAAGTGAAATTCACTGAAGTTGTACAGGAAGTAAAAGCAGAGGTGACCAACTTCAGAAAAGCCCATTCTGAAATAGTGGAAATGAAAAACTTCATCCTGGAAATCAAGAACATATTAACAAGCACAGGGAGCAGGGTTAACCAGGCAGAGGAAAGAATCTCAAAGCTTGAAAACCAAAATATGAAATTAACTCAATATGTCAAAAACATAGGAAAATATCTCAAAAGGAGGAATAAAGCATCCATTCTTGACTATGTCAGGAATCCAAAATCTATGCCTGATTGGTATTCCTGAAGCAGAAAGGGAAATGGAGTACACCATTTCAAGGAAATGGACAAGCATTCCTTGAAGTCATTCAAGAAAACTTCCCACATCTTGCTAGAGAGGTGACCATCCAAACACAAGAGATTCAGAGAACCTCTGCAAGTTATCATATGAGAAGACCATTCCTAATGCACATAGTCATCCACCTCCACAAAATAAGCATGAAAGAAAAAAATCCTGAAGGTAGCAAGAGAGAATGGTCAGGCTACCTACCAGAGAAGACTCATCAGAATCATTCCAGATTTGTCTGCAGAAACACTACAAGCCAGAATGGACTGGCTCCAATCTTTAGGGCTCCCAAATCAATAATTTCGATGACTAATTTCCCACCCAACCACTCTAAGCTTCATCAGTAGTGGAGAGCCAAAATTCTTCCCAGATATCCAATCCCTAAGAGAATGTGCCACCTCTAGACAAGCCCTTCAGGAGACACTTAAGAAGGTGTTGAACACAGGGAAAAAAGGAACAATCATACCCATAAAAAAAGTACAGGCAAGCACAGAGTTAATAGAGCATACAGATCATCCACAAAAATGAACACACACATATATAAATACAAAAGTTAAAAGGAGACAAAGCAATCCCCTAAAAGCCCTATGACAGAAAAAAATCACATTTTAATAATCAGTTTGATTGTGAATGGTCTAAATGTGCCACTGAAGAGACACAGACTGACAAAATGGCTAAAGAAGTATGATCTAACAATCTACTGCCTCTAGAAAATTCATCTCACTGTAAAGGACACTCATAGGCTCAAAGTTGGAGACTGGAAAACAGTCTTTCAGGCAAATGGAAAACAGAAGAAAGCAGGAGTAGCTATTCTGATATCACACAAAGCAGTCTTCAAACCATCAAAAGTTACAAAGGACATGGCAGGACACTATATAATGATAAAAGACTCAATTCACCATAAAAACTCCATCCTAAACATATAGGCATCCAACACACAGGAGCACTAGGTTTTTGTTTTTGAGTTGGAGTCTCACTCTGTCACCCAGACTGGAGTGCAGTGGCTGCTCCTGGCCACCACAGCCTCAACCTGCTGG